GAATGTGACATACAAATACTCTTTTCTTTTCCTCTTTCTTGGAAAGACACTGCATATGTTTGTTTTAAACTGTGGAAGAGAGGATTTGGGAAACGCCATTACTGTACAAGTAATACTAGGGTCAGAAAAGAGAAACAGAGAGAAAAATGAAGACAGGTAAATAGACAGAAATTGACAGATCTTCTTACAACTTTTTTCTACATTGCCATGTATTGCAAGTTATATCCATCACTAATATTTTAAAATAAGTATATACAAAATCAAGAATATTGGTCAAGAACTCCATTCTTCTTGTTTTAAAAAAAAGTTATTAAATATACTTTGGAGATCAGAAATTAATATCAATAATGCATTAATGCAACTGGAAATGATAAAAATGGTAGCCATCTTCCCCTAAGAAAGCAGTAAGTAAAAGGGGGTTGCTTTCCCAAAGTGATGTATTTTTATTCTTTTGATTGTAATCAATTGCTATCTTTTCTATTGAGATATTTTTGTTTGGTTCATTTAACATTCACTTCAGCCTGTATTTACTGAAACCCTGTTTAGACAGCTAGACAATTGAAAGACCCAAGTTTTTTTTTTTACTTGAAGAACTCAAAGTGTGATGGAGTAAGATGGAAATATAAATGGAAAATCACACTGCAATATGATAAATGCAAGAACAGAGGTATAGTATGTGCAAAAGGTTACGGGATCCAGCAAAGGGGCAGGACAAACTATCATGCTCTGTTTCTTCAAGGAACAACAGATTCAATAAGTTTCCACATTCTGGTAAAGGGTATGGAATCATGGCAGTCATTTACAAAGGAAGTAAGATCAAAGAAGCGTAAAGAGGAAAGTGGAAGATGGTGCAAAAAGTAATGTGAGGGCAGATAGAGCAAAGGTAGAAAGAAATGAGGACAATTAAACCAGTAGAGACAAAAATTTCTCTAGACTGCAAATATGTGCCTAAAAATGCAACCACACACAGACTTGGACTAAAGTTTACACAGGCACATAGGGAGACTTCCCTTGGGTGGTAGAATACCAAGGATTAGGCAGAATGGAAGACAAATGAGTGTGTGTGTTCAGATTTCCTGGAATCTATACAGGGATCCCAATTTCCTTTCACATAAGTGGAGCCATTGATGTTGGTAGGAAACAAAGATTCCATTAAGGCTTATTATGTGATTTAGATATCCTGGTGTGGAATTTTTCTGCCCAAACTGTTTTAATTATTTTTAATGAAGTGGTAAGAAGTAAGATCTTATATCACATTTTATATCTTAGCTATATAGTCAAGAATCATCTTCAGTGAAAGAATCCTATAAAGCATAGTAAAGGCCTCAGGGAAACTAAAGATGACTTTGTGAATAAATGCCAGTCTTTCCCCAGATTTGTATCTAAAAACCTGGTAAATAGCAATGTTATTTGAGTTTCCTTTAAAAAAACAGATCCATTATGTGTTGACAGGTTTAAAAAAAACTGCCTGAAATAAGACATCATTATTTGAAAAAAAAAAAAAAAGGTTTCATTTTGTTGATTTATTTGACTTTCACAATTTCACATAAAAATTGGGAAAATGACAACTAAGTTTCCATAATCACATGCCACTCATGTCAAAATGATCCTACATGAGGAAATTCTTAGATGTACTAAAATTTAATACTTTAATGAAGCATCAAATAATTTACTTATATGATGTATTCAATTACATCTGTAATTGTTAGAGTCACTAAAAACAGTACAGGTTTTCTTCTTGCTGTTTTCTGGCTATGAAATTTTTCAGTATATGCATGTAGTATTAAACAATGTTCTAGTAAAGAATGTTCTATCTCAAAGTAGACGGCCCATTCCTGAGTGTCTGTTTTCTCAACCCCAAATGTGATTTTGTAATTCCAATGGACACATTCACAATATTTAACATTTGTTATATCTTTTCCATCACCATCAGTATCACACAAAACAATCTAGAATTGCATCTACTAAATGTGAAGACTCTTCTGTCAAATTTGTGCCACTACTATGATGTAACACAAGTGGAAAATATTTCTACTCGAGGTAGGCCCTCTGACTCACTATTTATGGCAGTGAATAAAATGGAAGTCAAAAACTGTGGAGAGTCATCTTGTATTCATTCCTTTGATGACATACAGGATAGTTTCACTATTTTAACATAGAAAATGGAAATCATCGTGTAAGATAAAATATAAGCAGCATTTTCGAAACCTCATTTTAAAAGCTGTAATTACATGTTATTATATAAAATGACATTTTAGAATAAAATTAGATATGAGTAGCAGAACTATATGTAATCATTAACCTTAAGCCCTAAGAATGTCATGTATGTGGTAGTTTATTTCAAATGATATTAAATAATTCTTTCATAATACTTTATATGTCATTCACATCAAATATCTAAGATTTAATATACTTTGCGTCAATTTGACTAAATCAAGAGTCCATAGATCTTCACATCCCTTTCCTACAATGCAGCATAGCCAAAAAGGTGTTCTTTGAGTAAGGTAATGAGTGCTGCATGTATTTTATAAGAATTACTTACAAAGGCATCAGCTACAATTATGTCATCAGGAATTATTCACCCTTACCTTTCTGACTGAGAGGACCTAAATGATTAAAGAGCCTAAATTCAGAATACAGACAATATAGGCTGTACGATTTTCCTGATACAGCATATATTGTGCCCCTATTATATAAACTTTTCCTAGTCCAGCTCTATTAACATTATAATAATCTTAGTCATTAATTTGCCTTTGGCAGTATCACATTCTCATTTTGCCAGTGAATTAGAGACGAGAAATAAACATTCTCTCACAGGATTTATAAATCTTACATCAAAATCACTCTTATTCATTTACAAAACAAATGGCTATCTAGCACAGCTTCTATAAATCCCAGCATTGTCTTAACCCCTCTCTCATGATCATGACCAAAAAAATCATTGAAAATCATGCTTAATGTACGTACAACAACTTGGTTTTTGTCACTAGTTACGTTTCCTATAGAAGGGCTGCAAAACTGGATTCACTCTCCATTGTCATCGGGAATCAATTTGATGACAAAATTTTAACCATTGAAGAACAAATTTTCTAAATTTTATTAAAACAACAACAAAACAAACAAAAACTAGATTCTGATGTTAATTGTTTTATTAGCCAGCTTATAACATCACATTTTTTTCTGTGTACCGTATTTTCTTATTCTAGGGGACACTAATTAGTTTTAAATGATGTTAAATACCATCCCTGCAGTTGCAAGTGTTTCTCTGGGATTTTTACTAGAGAAAAGAACTCTGTAATTTAAAACCACTTTGTTTTCTTCAGTCACAGCTGTTACTGAAACACTGACCTGTAGAAATCTTAAAGGTTTTCACTCTTTTCTCTTTGCCATTAGTCTGCATTTATTTTCTAACAGGGCTTTTCCCCTTGTGCCATTGCTCTTCCATAATTCCCATCCCTTAAATTGCAGCCAGCAGAGAAAAGGCATTAAGCTAGTCTCTTCTCCACCACTCCCTCCCTTTAAAGCCTTGGCTACCCTTAAAGAAAATTCTCCAACAACGTGTCAATTTTATATTGGCCACAAAGACAACTTCTGTTGGGGGAGGGAAGGAAAGAGGGACTGGAGCTTGGCCGTCCCTTTCCACAGACAGGGATCTTTGTGGTGATCAGAAAACATTTCCTGCATAAGAAATCAACACACTCTCTGGTTGCAGGGTTGGGGAGCAAGAACGAATTTGTATCAGCCCTGTCCTCAAAGAAATGGAACACATCCATTAACCTTCCAAATAGGAAAGTCATTTTTCTCCTAATATGTCATGCTTTTTTGCATTATTAAACATAATCCACAATCTCAAATCCTCTAGTAGCTCCCCCACTGGGGACTGGGCTAAAGCTCCAATCACTCCCGCACTTTCTTGTTCCTCTGCATTTCCGTTGCACTGTTTTTTTTGTTTTGGGGTTTTTTTTTTTTTTTTTTTTTTTTTTTTTGTTTTTTTTTTTTTTTTTTCCTTTTTTTTTTTTTTTGGGTTTTTTTTTTTTTTTTTTTTTGGTTTTTGGTTTTGTTTTGTTTTTTTCCATCTAGCTTATCTCTGAGATGTTCTCTCTCTCTTCCTGTATATCAACAGGAGACCAAAACGATGAGGACAAAAACTCATTAGCAAGAGGCAGCTAGGTATGGATAGGTATGTGTTTTAATCCTGCGTCCCCCTCCCCCACCCGCAGGTGTCTTCACAGCCAGAAGACCTGGAGAGTTTGCACTTCTAGTGGGTTTCTCTTGACACATGCAAGAGTGAGTGCGTGGGATTTTTGTGCCAAGCACCTCAAACAAAATTCCAGGCCTGAGGAGAAGGGAAGTATCCCTGTCTTCATGCGTCAGAAAGTAATTGGTCCACACAAGCGTGCTGAGTTTGCATCACCTTTTAGTCATGTTGCCCCAGTTTCAAATCTGGAAAGGGGTGGGGAATGAGAGGCTAGGGCACAGAGAGGTCATAAGAGAGAGGAAGCGAAGGGGACTTGTTGTTGGGCTGGAGAAGAAGGGATACATCCACAAATCCATTTCACAGATGGAGTGTGTGTGTGGGTGTGTGTGTGTGTGTACGTGAGAGAGAGAGATAGGAGAGTGTGAGTGTGTGTGTGTGAGTATAGTGTATAGGTCTCCCCTGGGGCTGCAGCCTGAATAAAGCACACTTTTCCCTCCTAACCAACCTCCAGCTTAAGCTGTCCACGTTTCTGCATCTCTTTTCTCCTGAATATTCCACCCGCACTTCCGGGGTATGTTGCTGAGCTATCCTGTTCTCACTGCCTCATCTCTAAAACCTTGAAACCTAAAACTATCTCAAGAGACCTTTATCAGTGAAGATCACAAATCAAATGAATCCAAAGATGACAGAGTAAAGGAGCAATGATTAGGCCTCTGTGTTGAAACACCACGTTTTAACTTCATCTCCCAAATGTCCTCCCTCCACCCCCACCCCCATCTTCCCCTCTCCTTTGGGCATTTACCTTCTTTGGGTGGTCGCTTGGCCTCCCTGGTAAGATTGCAGACTTGGGTGGTTTGCAGCTCCTGGGTCAGGCAGCCTTCCGTCTGCTCATTCAAGGGTAACACCACGTTATTTAACAAAACCAGCGACTGGTCGTCGATCCCCCACTCTCCCAAATGCTGAGGGCAGGTGCATTTTGTATACATGATCCCACATGATTCTGTTCTCCCATTTTCTGATTTTAAGCAGCTCTCCAACCAAGTGCATAATACATGGCAACCAAACTGGCTTGGGCTCACCTTGTTCAATACCAAAAACTCAAAAAAAGATTTCTGATCGTCTTCCCCTTTTTTCTGTAATCCTGGGAAATCAGTTGGAAATACCCGACGTATTTGAATAAAATTTTTATCATATTGTAGAAAAACGAAAGCATTCTTGGAATCGCAGAGTTGCATTATAGAATGATTCTTTCTTAAGAGATCCTTTATTTTTTCATGGGAAAAATGATCAAACTGATAAGCCAGGAGGGAAAAGTTAGAGCAGCTAAGGTCCTTTTTGGAAAATTTCAGGTAAATGCTATATTTGGTTGGATCTGGATTTTCCAGCGTCCAAGTGCAATTTGTAAAGTTTTTGGGAAACATTTCACTTACAGAATACGATCCATAAATGACTCCCTTCACCAAAGTTGAACACCAGAAGTCTTGGGCAGCATTAAATCCAAACATAACCAGAAGATAGGTGGAAAATATATAAATCAGCAGGTTACGAACAGCCTTCATCCTATGTCATTTGGCCTGTAAAAATGGTAATGAAAGTAAAATGCAAGTAGGAGTCTACACGCATTGGAAAAATAAACTCCTTTCAGTATTACAGCCAGCTGTTTTCAAGATTTCAGTAAAAAAAAAAAATCTTTTTTAAAAGAAAGGCAGGTAATTTTTATTTTTTAATGCTGGAAAATTATCTGTTGCTGTGTGAACAGCGCCCTCACGTGGCTATTCACAATGGTCAAATTCTCAGTGCTCAATTTAAAAATAACATTTAATAGATTATTAATAAGAATGTCCTAACTAATCTACCAGGATTTCCTCCATGTCCATTATCATTCCCTAGGATGAAGATGGATAACATGGTGTATTTCAGTACCATAAACCTAAATGTTAATCGTTGAAATATTTTTAATCAGTCTATTCAACCTTTCTCTCCCTCTGTCCTCTGCCTGCAGTAAACATCACAGGAAATCTAATCTGATAATCTGGGAACAGCTGTCATCACATTATTTCTTTTATCTTAAATGTGAAAAGTAATTATGATTAGTTATAGCCACAATTTTAAAAGCACAAATGATAATTTGTTACAGATGTAACATCATCTCCCAAATGTCCCTACTTGCCTTTGCAGGGGCCACCATGTGAACTGATGAGAAATTCTTGTGCAAAAACATGGGCATTCATGTGGATTAACAGAATTTTAAAACCACCATCTGAGAAAGGGCATAGATGGGTAAATACATAGGGAAGACTTGTTGTTCAACAGCAACACTGAGAACTAGGATTTAAGGTAGTCATTTCAATGTGACATGCCCTCTTGGGATACATAAAGTGGATCACTGTATTAGTATCTGTATCCAAAGGCGATGTCAGTGAAAAATCCCAGAACCGCAGTAATTGAGCTGGCTTCAGTCTTTTAATTTTTTTTTTAATTAGGGCTATTTTATCTAGAGTTATTGACTGTAATTCAAGCTTTACACATGGTAAATGAAAGACATTAGCATTTTCTTTCGTAGCAGATTTCAATTATTGAATTGCTCCCTTTCCAACAACAGCTCCAAAGCTCCTCTTTTCTTTTCTTTCTTTCTTTCTTACATTTTTTAACCCTGGCCTTGTATAATAAAGTAGTCATTGGTTATATTTACCTCTGTAAGTTGTTATCCAAAAATAACTTGAATATTTTTCAGCTTTAACCTTTAAGAAGTTATTTCTTAGAATAAATGACAGTGCTTTTTTTTTTTTTTTTTTTTGCCTTTGAGCTGATAAAAGTGATGCCAAGTTAATTTTAAGTCTTTAGGCTGCAGTCTCTTCCACTGTTCTGTAAACAGAGACAGACATACAGACATATAGATAGTTAAGAGTTTTCATGCCTTTGCTGGGTCCTCTCTGAACCAAAGGATAAAACCCTCTTCCTTCCCATTGCATAACAAACACCAACGCATGCACACCAAATCCAGCGACCCAAGTCCCTGAAGACAAACTGCATTTTTTAGCTTGTAATCCAAATTCTATGTCTTGATACAGGCAAAAAACAGCCCCAACTCTAAATTTCTATATAGCAGCAGTTTATAACACCAGAACTGCTGGGACTATCAAAACAGTGTTCTCTGTTTCAAACATACAGCTCAATGAATAATGAATTTTGTTCTTGACAAAATAAAGCCAATGAGCATTTAAAGGTTAAAAAACAAGGAAAGCTATAAAAAATTCTGGAAATAATTTCCTCCTTTTTTTGCTGTGGTACTTTGCAGGCAATGCAGGTCTGCGCAGTGTTCTTCAGGATAGAGTGTAGGCGTTGAGAGCCAATGTGACAATAAGTGTCTAAATTAGGAATTCCATCCATGAAAGGGGGCTTCGTTTTATAATCAGGAACTCAAAAAGAGGTCGTATTTCTTTTCCTAATGAAATCCGTACTTTTGCTACCATTTATTTGACAGTGCATGTCTGCAATGCCGTGCTCATCAATGATGGAGTGAGGAAATAGCTCTGATTTCACTTTCGTGCATGCTCAAGAGCACCCTCGATACAATGCTCTTTATTTTTAATCAGTCTTGGTGTCCAGAGTCTTGTTTTGTTCTTAAATAATAAAAAATGGATCATTGGCCCTCCCCCCTTCAGACTGCAGGGCCAGTTCAAACAACTGTTTTTCCCTCTTAAAGAAAGACGCGGGGGTGTAGAAGGGCTGGCCACCGAGGTGTCAAGGATGTTGTATTTATTTATTTGTCTCTTGTTGAGAAGTGAACCCTCATTGAGTTTAGCTATTCTCAAAACTGATTTTCTGGGAGACACTTTAGTTTAGTCGAACATAGACGGCGCCATCACTCCACTGATTTTTTTTTCCCCCACTAGAAAACCCACTGCCTCCTCTTATATTAACTTCCTTTTAACCTAAATTCCCCCCCTCCATAAAATTACCCCAATCACACACAACTGCCAGGTTTTCTAGGTCTCTCTGCTTATTTCTTCCGACCCAGCAAATCTCCTGAAAACCAGACTTCTCTAACTTTTCAACTGCGGCGTTTAAGTAAATGCAGACAGTTAGATTTGCTCACAGCCTCCCCATTCGCCAGCAACAGCCTTTCTGTTTCCTGTCCTCCCTTCCCAAACGTCAAGCCCACAGCTCCTCGGTGGCAACCCCCGGCAGAGGGAAGGTGACCCCTGGACCCTCTTCCTTACCTTGCACTCCGAAAGCTCAGGGAGGCTCTTGCTCTAAGACACCAGCACAGGCACGCGTCCCAGCAACAGTGACGGAGAGACTCCCCTTCGGTCCCAATCACCGTTGCCCATTTTCCCCGGCTCAGCTTCAAAAATCAGGATTTATTTTTTAAGATGCACACATAGGAGAAGCAAAAGATGGGGGGGAAAATCAAATGGGGGGGTAGAAAAAAAGCCACCAGGAGCCCAGAGCCTTGCGCCGTATCCAACAGAAACCCACCTCCAAACCGAGGGGGGAGAAGGGAAGAAGAAGCCCCCCCGGAGGGAGACTCTATGGAACTCCCCAAAATATAAGTGGCTTAAGAGCGAAGATTTGTTTTACCAAATCTACCCCCCAACGAACCGATGAGCCAAGAAGCAAAGAAAGCGCTGAGACGAGAAGTGACCGGCGGCGACGGCGGCTGCTATGGCAGATTGGTTGGGGCGGTGGGTTTATTACAGGAGTATTCGCGGTCGGATCGGAAGGCTCGAGCTTATGCTTTTTCCTCTTTCCGCTCTCCTCCCTCCTCCTCCCCCCCGCAGGTACTGGTGGACGGACAGCGACTAAGGAGAGGGGGAAAAATCCTTGGCTGGTGATGTCGGAAAGCTGTTTGAATGCCCAGCGAGGAGGGAGGCGCGAGAGGGAGCGAGATAGTAAAGCTCTGTCTCGGGCGTGCGCTCGGGCGCGCGGCGCTCGCTCTCCCCGGGGCACGCGCGCGGGCAGGGCGCGCTCCCCGGGCGCGGGTCCGCGCGGCGGCCTCCCGCGTGCTCG